AAAACCCAGGTCGCAAAGTTGCTTCTCTAAGTTTTAAGTCCCCTCCGCAATCTACTTGTCATGTTTAATGTTCAGAATGCCCAGGTGGTTGTCCTTTGTGTTTTGTGTAAAGTTTTGTTTATATGCAGCAGAAGGAATGGGTTGTAGTTACCTAAGACTTCATGCGAGAACCAGAAATTCCATATATATAGTATTTCTAAATGACCAATTTGGTGTCATCGCTCTTTTGGTGCTCATGTATATTTCATGGTCTTAAAATAAATATTTGGCTTTATCTTTATTACTAAATCAATCAAAAATACCCCCACCATCCCATTAATTAATTTCACACTATTTTGAAACTGAATTCTCTTCCCTTGGTTTGAAAGATGTTTGCAATAGTGCACCACTGTCATTCATTAACTTTTGGTGTAGGAGTGATTTAGCTCGGTGAGGTGTTTAGAGGAGATGGGTAGTGTAGACTGTTGTTTAAATTGCTCATGGGCTATATGAGGCTTGCTGAAATTTCTTTCTCAGAAATCAAGAAAAAGAATGGTTTCTATGGACAGTTTTAAGTACAATTCTTCTAGACTCTCATTTACGAGTTCTGAGATGGGATCTTTGTCATTCTGAAAACAAGGAATCCGCACTAATCTGAGACTCCAGATTTGGTTCTGCCCTCACGTCTTGCTGGCTGAGAAGGGCTGTGCCCTCAACTGCATTCTGTGGTCAGTATTCTTCTTTCTCCTCCACATTCTCACTTTTGGCTCTTTTGCTTCCTGGGATTAGGCAAGAACTCTGGCAGCCTCAAAATCAAGTGTCAATGTGGGGTAGGGGAAAGTCTTTCCAGATTTCTAGATGTTACAAAGGGCAGAGAGCATGTTGGTGCCATATAAGAAGCCGCTAGTCAGACACTATTTTCAAACAGAAAGTAGATTTTTTTTTTTTTCATGAGGAGAAAGCATGTCAAGGGGAGAAAACTAGATTTGTTGGAGGAAGAAATCTCAAGATGCTAATATTTGACAACTTTTAGAACTCAGAGTGAGATCTCTCATTTTCCTATTTGGCACAGAGATTGAAGAGAATAATACAGAAGGAAACCCACTGGAGCCATATTTAATATATCACATACTGTAGAAAGGGGGATTTTGTTCATGCTTTTTGATATTTTCTATAAACTCAATGCTAAATGGTAAACTAGCCAGGATAATAAGATAGGTAATTAAATATTTAACAGTTTAAGCCAGTAATTTCTGGCTTCTGCTGAAGACAAAACTTTTTTTGCTAGGATGCAACCTCACTTTGCCATACTTTGAAAAGGACAAAAAATTAACCAGTGCAAAAAAGTAAGGCAATTAACATCAGGACATTTATTCTAAAGGAGATTAAGAAACAAAGCTCCATCCTTTTTAATTAATGGCAGTTATTACAAATCCATGACCCACTGTCTGTGGACAAGAGGTCACAGAAGGTACCTGGTGAGCCACTGCAGGAAAGCAGAGGTGATGGTCCTGGTACTATTTATGCCATTATAATTAGATATTAGCCAGTGAGCTCTTCTTCCAGTAAGCTCATTTACAACAGTGAAAGTACTGAGTGGAAATGTTTGCATTAAAAAAATTATGAAGAAGATTCAGAAGTGTTCCCTATATCTCCATGACAGATAGGTTCAAATTAATGTATTAGGCTGACATTTAAAATGGAAATTTAGAAAGGAAGGCAGTATGATAGATGTTAAGATAATAAAAATTTATCTGTAAACATGTCTTAGTATTTTCTAATGTAGCAAAAACGAGTACAAAAATAGAAAGAAGGCAGGCAGAAAAGGAAGTATAAAATTCATTACTTTTAACAAAGGATCAAGTGATCTTGTAACCGTACTGTAGGTATACATTGGGGATATTGAGGGTTGGGTTCCAGATCCTTGCAATAAAGCAAATATTGTAATAAAGCGAATCAAATGAAATTTTTGGTTTCCTTGTGCATATAAAAGTTATGTTTACACTACACTCTGTCCTACTAAGTGTGCACTAGCACTATGTCTAAAGTACCCAATGTACATACTTCAACAAAAATACTCTATTGCTAAAAAATGCTAACCATCATTTGAGCTTTCAGAGAGTTTGTAATCACTGATCACAGATCAGCTTAAGAAATGGAGTAATAATCAAAAAGTTTAAAATATTGTGAGAATTACCAAAGTGTGACACAGAGACAGGAAGTGAGCAAGTGGTTTTGGAAACATTGTGCCTACAGACTTGTTTCATGCAGGGTTGCCACAAACATTTGTAAAACAAATGTAATAAAGCAAAGCACAACAAAGTGAGGTATGCCTCTAATAACATTTCCAGTCTCTACTCTTGCCAGAGCTGCAGAACTTAATTCTTTTCTTTCTAATCAAGAACTTGTTTCCTTGGAAACCTCTGGAAATGCTTCTGCTTTCCTCATAGATCTTCTGAGGTCAACCAGCAGATTAACTACAAGATACTCCCCGTTAAATAGAATCCTTCTGTTACATTTGCTGTTACAAACACTTCAAGAGATACTTGCAATCATTTTTCCAAATTTTACCCAAATAAATGAGATTTTAGTAGTGATTTTTAAAAAATGAATATAAAAGTAATCACTTAATTAAAATGATTTTTAAAATCCTACTATTCACTAAGCATTTGCTGTTAGTGGGAATATGATGGTAAGAATTTTGTATATATATTTAGGGGCTCACGGCCCTATTTCTACTAATTGTATGACTCTGGGTAGCACTCTTTAAACTCAGTTTTATCATAGATAAAATTGATATAACAAAATATGTCTATGTGATACATGTGTTCAAAAGATTCATGAAGATAATTAATTTCATGCATCTGCCCAAGTGCCTAGAATATGTGTTGAATATGTTATTAACTGTTAATAATTATATGCTACAGACAAAGTGATTCTTTTATTATCAGAATTATTTTATGTATTGATGATCACCTTGTAGATTTTTTTTTTTTTAGCTACTGTATACTCTATCTAGAAGTGTCTTTTCTTGTACAAGATACCAGTGTGGAATATTAGAGATGAAACAATTCTTTAGTAAGATCTAAACCAAGTCAGACATTGAGAATGAATTCTCCCTAGCAAAAGTGTTCTGCATATCCAAACAGCAGAAATATTTGGGAATTATTAGAATTCTCAGATTCTGGATTTCGCATACTCTGTGTTATATTAAATGTACTCTTCTTTATTCAACAGCATAGAGAAAAATGCACCTTTGACTTTATTTCCTATTCCATCTTTATTTCAGAGGTGGTAAAAATATATCGGCAACAAACATATATAAAAATAGGAGAAAGCACAATGATGTAATATTTCACAAATTCTCATTTTAAGACTGTATTCTATCTTTATTTTGGCGATGGTAATAATATATCAGTAACAAACACACATAAAATAGGAGAAAGCACAATGATATATTTCACGAATTTTCATTTCAAAACCCGACTGAGACATTCCAAGACATTCCTATTATTTCCATCCTTTTTACAACATGAAGTGAAAGGAAAGTTGTAAATATTTTTACTGCAAGACATGGAGCTTCTCCTGGTTTTCCATATTTTGTTATTCTAATACTTAAAGAGTGTATCCAACTGAACATTATTTCATTTTGAGAATGCACTGCCACTCTTATTATGCTTAATCCTGTGACAAATGATGTGAAGCATCTTTCCATGTACTTGTTTGACATTCATATGCCTTTTGTGAACTATTTGTCAAATCATTTGCCCATTTTAAAAACTTGTTTTTTTTTTTTTTTCTTATTACTGATGTTTGAAAGCTATTTATATCTTTTGGATGCAAATGTTTGGTGAGGTGTGGGATTTGCAGTGATTGTCTCTCAGGCTATTGCTTTTCATTCTCTTAATGTCTTTGCAGAACAGAAGTTTTTGATTTTGTTGGTATCGAAGTTTAAAATATATTCTACATCCTTGCTGTCTGTTTACCTTTTGTATCAATTACCAAGAAAGAAGCATTAAAGTCAGCAACCGTCATTGTGGATATTTGTTTTTCTTTTCAGTTCAAGCTGATTTTGCTTTATATATTTTGAAGTTCCATTTTCAGATGAAGACAACATTTTAAACTGTTGTGTATTATGGACAGATTGACCTTTTCATCATTTTTTAATTCTCGTCATTTTCCTTGCTCTGAAGTCACTGTTAATTGATATTAACACAGATATCCTCACTACCTTTTGGTTAGCGTTTGCATAGTATGACATTTTCTATCTTTTTACCTTTTTTAAAAAAGATTTTATTTATTTATTTATTTGACAGAGAGAGAGAGAGAGAGAGAGAGCGGCAGCAGCAGGAGAGGGAGAAACAGACTCCCCCACTGAACAGGGATCCAGACATGGGATTCAACAGGACCCCGAGATCATGATCTGAGCCAATGGCAGATGCTTAACCGACTAAGCCACGCAGGCACCCTCTATCTTTTTACTTTTGATCTACCATTAAAGAAAATCAGGGCTGGACAGTCGTTTAAGTGGTAAAAGTAGATTTTATTCAGGAGCTATTGCAATAGGAGAAAAGAGACCTAGTTCAAAACTGGGCTCAATTCTGAATACACCATGGACAAATGGAGATTTTTATATACCCAAAAAGTAGGCTGGGGTCAGCGGATATAGAAAATTACGTAGAAGAAACATCAGGGATAAGGGAGGATTCTGGCTAAAAGGATTCAACAGATTCTTGCCGCGGGCAGGCCAGGGTAATGAGATATCACAGGAGGGATGGTGGAGGAGAAGGAATTCGATTAGAGATTTGGGGTGGTCCGATGTCAAGGGTGGGGTCCAATTTCATGTTTCTGAATGAAGTTAATTAGTTTTCTCAGAACCATTGATCCTTTCCTTGTATATTCTTGGCTTCCGTGTCAAATATTAGTTGGTCACATAAGAGAGGGTTCGCTCTAGATTCCGTTCTACCAGTCTTTGTGTCTACTTTTATGCTAGTACCATACAGTTTTCATTATGACAGCTTTAAAGTACAGGAAACTTAATGAATTTGTGTGTCATGCTTGTGCAGGGACCATGCTAATCCTCTCCGTATCATTCCAATTTAAGCATAGTTTTTGCTGACCAAGTGAGCACAGTGTATGTTTGTGGTATAGGTTAAAATCAGGAAATTTAATGATGCCTCCAGCTTTGTTCTTTCTCAGGATTGCTTTCGCTATTCAGTCTTTGGTGAGTTTATACATATTTTAATAGTATTCTTTTTAGTTTTATGAGAAATGATATAGTAATTTTGATAGGGACTGCACTGAATGTATAGATGGCTTAATTTTAACAATATTCTTTCTATCCATGAATATAGGATATTTTTCCATTTGTTGTATCGCCTTTAATTTTTTTTCATCAAAGTCTTACAGTTTTCAGTGTACAGATCTTTCATTTTCTTGGTTATATTTGGCTGTAAGTATTATATTGTTCTTAATGCTATTGTGAACGAGATAGTTTACTTGAGCCCTTTTCAGAATACTCTGTTATTAGTGTATAAAAATGCAACTGGCTTCAGTATGTTGGTTTTGTATCCTTCAGCTTTACTGAATTGGTCAATTAGACCTTATAGATTTCTGGTGGAGTCTTTAGGATTTTTTGTGTATGAAATCATATCATCTGTAAAGACAAGTTTAACTTCTTTTTTTCTTTAGATACTTTTTCTTTTTCTTTTTCTTCCCTGATTTGCCTAGCCAGGACTCCCAGGACTATGTTGAATAAGAGTAAGGAGAATGGGCACGCTTCTCTTATTCCTGACCCTAGAAGAAAACCTTTCCACCTTTCACCACTGACTGTGATGTTAGTTGTGGGCTCATCAAGTATGGCTATTGTTATGTTGAGATATGTTCCTTCTATTCCCATTTTGTTGAGGGCTTTTATTCCAAGAGGATGTTGTGTTGTGTCAAATGCTTTTTCTGCTTCTATTGAGATGTTTGTATGATTATCTTTCGTTTATTAATGAGGTGTGTGACATTTATTGATTTGCATATATTGAACTATTCTTGCCTCCCAGGGATAAATCTCTCTTTGTGTATCTTTTCAATGTATTTTTGAATGCTTTTTGCTAATATTTTGTTGAGTTTTTCTTCTATCTCTTCATCAGGGATATTGGTTTGTTTTCCTTTCTTGTAGTGTCCTTATCTGATTTTGGTATCAGAGTAATGCTGGCCTCATAGAATGAGTTTGGGAATGTTTGTTCCTCTTCAATTTTTTAGAAGAGTTTGAGAAGGATTTGCACTAATTGCTCTTTAAATATTTGGGTGAATTTAGCAGTGAAATCATATGATCCTGGGTTTTCTTCTTTTGTGTGGTTTTGGATTAATGATTCAAACTCCTTACTCACTATTGATCTGTTCATATTTTCTATTTCTTCATGATTCCATCTTGGCCATTTCTTCTAGGTTATCCAAATGCTGGAGCATAACTGTTTATATTAGTCTGTTATGACCCTTTGAATATCTCTGGTATCAGTTGCAATGTCTTCTCTTTCATTTTTTATTTTAGTTATGAATCTTCTTTAATTTTTCTTAGGCTAGCTAAAAGCTGGTCTATTTTGTTTATCTTTTTGAAAAGCTAGCTCTTAGTTTTGTTGATCTTTTCTTTTGTCTTTCTAGTGTCTATTTCATTTATTTCTGTTCTGATCTTTGTTATTTCCCTTATTCTGTTAACTTTGGGCCTATTTTGTTCTTTTTCTAATTCTTTGAGGTATAAAGTTAGATTGTTCATTTGAGATTATTCTATTTTCTTTTTTCTTTAAAGATTTTATTTATTTATTTGACAGACAGAGATCATAAGTAGGCAGAGAGGCAGGCAGAGAGAGAGGGGGAAGCTGGCTCCGATGTGGGGCTCGATCCCAGGACCCTGGGATCATGACCTGAGTGGAAGGCAGAGGCTTTAACCCACTGAGCCACCCAGGCGCCCCTGTTCTATTTTCTTACTATATGATTTTATCTCTTTAAACCTCCTTCTTGGAACTGCTTTTGTAGCATCTCATAGGTTTTGATGTGTAGTGTTTCCATTTTTATTTGTTTTGAAATTTTTTTTATTCCCTTTTGATTTTTTTCTTTGATTTATTGGTTGTTCAGCAGTGTGCTGTTTAATTTCCACGTATTTAGTTAGACAAGTCAGAAATTTAAGTAAATAATTATAATTTAGTAATCTAATGTTAAAATAGATGTACAAACTAACCTCTCAGGGAATACAGAAGAAGAAGTGGTTATGTGTAAAGAAGGGAAAAAGGGGAGATTATAAAGGTGGGAGTATTTGAATTTGTGACAGTGATTAGAAGGGAAGAGGGACATTGTAAGCAGACATTCTTGTAGATTCAGAGCCATTCTCTTTCACTATTGCTTTTGCTGATGTAAACCACTACTTCTTTATGGAATTAGTTATCCTTTCACATGATAAAAAAGAAAATGAATATGGGGATATATAATATGGGAAAATGACAGATCTGTGTCAAAACCTTGCATGCCAATATTTAAAATATTCATCCTTAGTTTTCTGAAGAGCATATTGTTGTTTTAGGTGGCAAGAATATTCTCCAGGTGGAAGTGTCAGTTAAGAATATCATCTTAACCTCCTCGCAAGCAGGTGATAACATATATAAGCTTCTTGACCATTTCCTAGTTGTACACCAGCAAGCATAAGTAAATATGCTAATTACATAAAGACAATAAATAAATTACAGGGGCGCTTGGGTGGCTCAGTTGATTAAGCAGCTGCCTTTGGCTCAAGTCATGATCCCAGAGTCCTGGGATCAAGTCCCACATCAGGCTCCCTGCTTAGTAGAGAGCCTGCTTCTCCCTCTACCTATGCCTGCCACTCTGCCTACTTGTGCTCTCTATCTCTCTGTCAAATAAATAAAATCTTTAAAGTGAATAAATAAATAATTGTGTTTCACTGATGTTTCTGTTCTAGGATATGTGAATTGGTGACTTTTTAGAAAAAGATTCATATGTTTAAAACTCTTCTGAAGCTCCAAATGAAACAGATTTATAAAGGTAATGTTTTTGGAGTCTAACAGACTTTAACTAAACTGAAGATTTGTTAGTCACTTATCTTATTAAAACTTGTTGTAACTGAAAAATAAATTATTATTGAGGGCTTCTTTGTGTACTAGATTTATAAAATGATTAGAATCTTAAATGCTAGAGGCTGAGCTTAGGCAGGCAATTGTTTTTTGAAAGCCAAATCTAATTCAAGAAGGAATTTTCAAAAAAAAATCATAGATCCTTTTAAAAAAATAGTCCCATGATGGTACAATGAAGACCTCCACAATTCAACCATGAATTTCCTGTATCATTTCTTTCTGAAGCAAGTTTTTCAGATAATCTGGCTGTTCTCTCTTTGATCACAAAAATGTCAGCCGAGTTCTAAAGATGAGAGGAGGCCTATGAGAAACATTTGTTGAAACCTTCACTGTATGTGATAATCTTGCATTGCAAGAAAAAGCATCTTTTATATCTTCTGGATTCTCAGACTTCTGTCTGGATTCTTCATGTTACACTATGCTAGCATTTTAGTCCCTGAAAGAAAATTTTTCCTATTTAACATACTAGGAACATTCCTATATTACTCAAGGTAATACTAGCTATCATAATACTTGAACTGAACATTCTCGGTAATTTAAAGCAAGAAAAGCATACTTCATGTGATGTGAAATCCAAATGGGTCATCACAATGGCATGAAACCCTCCAAGCCCTGATTCCAGGATCCAGGCTTCCTTCATCTTGCAGTGCTGCCATGTTCAACAGGTGACTTTGTGGGCTACCATGCTGGTCTGCATCATGGGAAGGACAATGGGCATAGAGAATCACAAAGGAGGAGTTTTTAAAGGACTAGTTCTGGAAGCAAAGCACATCAGTTTCTCCAACATTCAGTTGGCTGGGGCTCAGTGATATTGTCTCAGTAACAAGCTGTGTCCTTAAGGGAAATGGATTTGGTGAGCAGGTTACCAGTATCCTCCATAGCTTCCTTCTATGTTCTTTCCTTTGCCAGAGGTCTTAAATATTTCTGCTCCTGTCCAGTCTAAAATAATCTGGAAAATCTCTATGTTCCTGTGCATTCTTTAGCTTGTTTTCTTAAATGTCTTTTTAATCATTCTTTGGCTTTATCAAAACTAAAGAATTGAGACAACTTGAACTACAAAGGATTTGTTTCTCATTGAAAATCATTTCCCTTCTTAACACATCCCAATATTTTGAGTAAGATTCAGAATAAATGAGAGAGTCACTCAGTCACTCACTCATTGAGTCAGTAAATCTTTTTTGATTACAGGCACCTACACTGCACCATGAATTCTGGAAAACTGGGACACCTCAGTGAATAAGAAACATAAAGACCCCTTCCACATGGAGCTTCCACTTAGCTGGAGGAGATAAAACATAGATGAAAAAAGAAACACAGACCCAATGAATGAGATATTTATAAGGTAGAAAAGTAAATGATGAGTGAAATGGAAAAAGGGGGGAAAAAAAAGGTAGAGCAGGGTATGACAGTGGGTCAAGAAGGTGGTGTTGGAGGGAGGATGGCTGCACTTTTACACTGAGTGGTAAACCTTACTGAGTGTGTGATGTTTGAATAGCTACTTAAAGGAGAGGCTTCCTAGGAAGAGAGTTCCAAATGGACAGAACAGCTAAGCCAAGACCCTAAGTCATGAGCATGTGTGGCATGTTGGAGAAATAAGCAGAGAGGCAGTGTGGCTGGGGAGAGGAAACGGAGGTAGTAAGAGAAGGGGTCAGAGAGTCAACGGTGCAGAGTCTGAAGCATGCACATTTTGAAAGACGTTGCGAAGTAGACATGTAAATTGATTTCTTTAAAACTGTACTTAAAAGAATGTTTAAAGAACACTATGTACTACAGAAATGATTTGAATAAAATTGAGTAATATTTTTAACAATATCATGCATACTTTCAGTGTATGTTGCCAAGTAACCAATATTTTAGTGCATTTTTCAGTTAGTTCTTTTGATAGATGCATGACATTTTCAGGGAAAATAACTAGTATTTACAATCCCTTTAAGTGTTCTCTTCAGAACTGATGAACAGAGCTTGAGATCGAGGGCCTACAAATTCGATCCTAGT